TTCATGGGACGGAGGGATTCCACTCGACCAATAGATTCCAATGGAATCCGCAGGTCAACATTTCTACCTTACCTAACGTTTGTCAAACTTCCGGTTCTCTGTCATGTCTAATCCTTCGGTAACCTTGCGTCCGGTAATGAGCTGTTAACACTAGAATTTTGCCTATTCAAACGGATTTCCAGGTTTAACGACTGTAATATACTTTTGTATGTTGGACATGTATGGTATTATTAGTTTTGTTGTCCTAGCATTGACTCTTAACAATTATCATATCTTACCCTCACAAACTGTTCCACGTCATCCTTCCCTTTTTCAGCCTTTCCTGCAATCAACATCAGTTTGCTCTGTAAATCCTTAAGTTCGTCAATAGAGTAAGTTTTCTTCTGGTCCTTCCTCTCACTTCCATCTCTCGAAGGAACCGTCAGTAGGATCACATCTTTCAACGACAACCGTTTTCCTTGTTCTGGTGACGGACCTCTCTTGAAGTCTAAGTGACCCACAACATATACACCGCTGGAGTTGATGGTCGTAGCCTGTACTAACGACGTCATAGCAACAGACCCATGAGACTCTTTGACCGTTTTTAACCAGTCCAGGTTTCTGCTTGTGTCATACTATGAAAAAAAAAAGGCATATTGTCTATCGAGTTACTTGTGAGATTGGTATCATTGAAGACATAAATTTTACCGCCCCTGCCTAAGCGAAGACGTAAAACATTAGATATTTGTTCAATCAAACCAAGATAATGTTCGTGCACGCGATCGGCAAACTAACTATATCCATCAAAAATTATGCCACCCAAATTTGATCTTAGCTATGTGATTGGCCCTGCTTTGCAGCCAGTTTTCGTGAGCAAGAAATTGGGGCAAGATCTTAAACCCATAGAAATTAAGCCGTCAATTGTTAGTAGGTAGTGTGTTGTTTATCGTTTTTCATGTGATCTATGTGATGCAGATTATGTCGGGTACACAGCCCGACATCTTCATCAACACATTGCTGAACAAAAAAATTCGGCGATCGGTCGACATTTCTTAGAAAGTCATGGAAACAACAACCCCTTCAAGAAAACCAATTCACAGTTTTAAGAAAGTGCCGGGACAAATTTGATTGTTTAGTATTTGAAATGCTCTTCATCAAGAAGCGTAAGCCTAATTCAAATACCCAGACGGACTCCATACGTGCGAAACTTTTTGTTTAATATTTTTAAACATCTTTTTCTCACGTTACAGCTTTTAATCAGCTATTGTTTTTTAAGTAATTACAGACTGGAACTCACAAACATATTTTGACGTTTAGCCAACGTCGAAACGTCGTCGTCTCTTAGCAATTTTTTTAATCTTAAAATGATTTTAAGAAATGTTTTATCGCAATTTTTTTATTTTTAAATGCTTTTTAAAATCACTTCTTGTAAATTTGATCAGTCTGAATAAGAATCGCTCCCATAAGTACACTTCACGCTATATATCATTTGAGAACTACACTGCTTTTCCCTCACAATATTTTTACCAGTTTTCGGGGCAACAACTGATCTGCCTCCACTGCTTTCCATACAGGATTACATGCCTTCATCAGTTGGTCAAAGCCCACTCTCTGTTCTTGGGTTTCAATCAGGTCAAAGATCAGCGGCGCAAAGCCTAAGCAGCTGGTATGCAGACTGGATATGCGGTCAGTTTCCATATCACTTTCACCAGCAGAGATCAAGGCCAAGTCCACAAGAACCTTTAGTTCTTGGGTTGCTGTAAACAAAAATACCCAGCTTCCATTATTTGCCAAAGATCCCACGTAACTTGGTTCAATTAATTTCAATCCTGACTCATCATTAATCTACAGGCAACACATCTAACAAGTACATATGGTTACCGGTCTACCAGATAGGTCGTTTCGCACCCAGTCAGTTGAGTCGTTTCATACCGAGCTCGGTCGTCTCGTACCCAAACTAATTAAGTATGTTTTCCGTGTTAACAACTGGAGAAAAAATATCACACTTACACGAATTGTTATTGTTAGAAAAGTCATCAGTATAAAAAAGACTTTTTTAATGAAAAATAGTACACTTACCTTGCGCTTGGCAATAATTAAGTTGTTTTTGTTAGAATTCCACAACTATACACAACAGAATTTTGTTTGTATCTTACTCGCTTGACTCTACTAACTTGTTGTAAGAAACGACTGACACTTGTTCACGCGCGTGGGGGTATTTCGGTTTGGGTACGAATCCACCAGCGAGTTTGGGTACGAATCGACTCAAACCATATATATTCTTGGTGAAGACTCTTCTATCTACTCTTGGACCAGAGCTGGAACTAGAATGTCGACCTCTTTTTCTGGTCGGAGGAGAAAAAATCGGTCCTTTATTTACAATACGGACGAACCAACTAGCATGAACAAATATACTGATCGATTGTTCTTACTTTTAATAGCAGCGCGCAGCCACTCTACAAGACGTTTGCTGTCAACCAAACTTCGGAAACACTTTTCTTTAGCGAAATCCACAGACTTCAGTGCCAGACCAGCCTCCATAAATCTTTCCCCTATGCTGTTTAAAGGCTTCTCTTTGAACTCTGCCGAATACTGTTGTAAATTGATGAAAGAGTTAAGCAGAAAAAGTTTCTTTAACATAAATTTTGACGACGTTGAAATCACGTCAACATGGTAAGTGGCAAAGCATGACAAATGGCAAGGAGTAAATTTAAAATAAATAGGGATACTACTGAAAATATAAAAAGGGGGGGAAAAAAGGAATTTTAATCAGAGAGAAAAATCATGAATTTTTCATTTTCAATTAGCTCAGACTTGAGACACTCGATACTTAAGTTACCTGATTGCGCAAATCTTGAATGACCGTAAAGTCCCCAGTAAAGCCCATAGCCTCCTTAAATTGCCAGATAGTCTCAGCTGCATCAAGGTACTGACAAAACTGTTGGTACCGCTGAATCTGAGCTTTTCGATCGTCAATTACTCCTCGCAATTCTTCGGATAATGTCGTAGTTTGGGTCTGGCTCAGTTGAAACATGCGGATTAACTCACACTCAAGTTTTTTCTCCTTGGACTTGAAACCTTTAAAAAGTTTCTCAACATCTCCTAGAGTCACAGTTCCATCCACAATGCCACTTAAATGTTTGCTCCACTCACTGAAAGCTGTTTTCCAAACATGTTCAACCACTTCAGAGACACTGAGATGAGGCATCTTGCTCTCGCCATTCTTTCTGATTCTTTGGGCTTTCTTACCATACTGTGTCCAAAGATCCTGAAAAATGGAACTTTCCTGGACTTTGTGAAGCGGCGTTAATACTTGTTTCATCGCTGGAGGTATTTCCAAGAACTTGAACTGAACTTCCTTGTCGTCGTTTCGTTCGCACAATTGACATAGTTGGTAACAAGAGACGTCTTTAATTGTTTTTGCCCTGATATTGTCAACATTTACTGAAAACAAACAAAAATACTTAGTTATATTCAGTGTCTACAATTTACCCATCCATGAGTGTACGCTGCTGACATGAGCAAATGTTTCCATGTAAGCAAATGTTTCGCAAGAAATTGTTTCATATGTTATAAAACAAATGGTAAACACCACAGTGTACATTACAGTGGAACCTCGAATTAACGAACAGTAGAGGACTGGGGAAGTAAGTTCGTTACATCGAAAACCTCGATTTAACGAATTTGCGGAAAAACAACCACAATATTCGTTATATCGAGGTATTTTTAATAATTGTTGTTGTTTGTGTGTGTGTGTGTGTGTGTGTGCGCGCGCGCTGTGACATTGGGCTTAATGTCTATTTGAAGCTACAGTACACTGTACAGATCTATAAATAGCTACAGCGCCGGAAACTGAACAGGACGACAAAATTTCAACAATTACAGTTGGCTTGTTAAATGTCAAAACGAAAAAGTTAATGAATAGCGCAACAGAAAAGAAAACTTAAACAAAAGAAACCACTTTACTTTACTACCAAAATTGCTATTTAAGACGCCCAATCAAAAATTCTGCTCATGAAATTGCTTAATTTTTTTCATTCTTTACTTTACAACTAAAATTGCCAATCAAGACGCTAAATGAAAAAATTTTTCTAATTCCCTTATATATTGTCTTTCGTCAAAATGCGTATTTCACGCAAGAGAAGGGGCGTGGTTATTTCCCATCTCTTGTGCCTGACTTGTCAAATGTCACAATGAACACGAACAGTATAAAAGAACAGAACACTACTGTACAGTACTGCACTGTACAGACTACTGTACTAAAGTTGTTAATCACGACGTTAATTAAAAAAATTATTCCAATGAGGATTTTGATTGTTGTTGGTCTGTTTCGCGGCATTTCTCGCTTTTATCACGTGTTCGTTACATCGAGGTATCTGTATACGTTTGGGCTTCTGGATTGTGTTTGTTAGAACGAGGATTTCGTTTTAACGAGGTTCGTCATATCGAGGTTCTGTTGCATACATTTTACTGTAACTTTAGCTGGGCTGAAAAGTATCGTTCGTTAAATAGTAGCGTGGACTTCGTTATATAGAGGTTCGTTAAATCGAGATTCTGTCGCATTCACTTTACTATAACTTTAGCCGGGTTGAAAACTATCGTTTGCTATACCGAGGACTTCGTTATATAGAGGTTCGTTTAATCGAGGTTCTGCTATTTTGAGTTATGAATGCACTTGGGAGGATACCCTTCTTTCGTGCTTCGCAACTTCCCGCGTGCATCCATAACTCTGTAACGCTATGCTGTTCACCTTCGTTAATCGACGGTCAAAGAAAAATCATACAAGCTGTATTGGTACTTTAAAGACTTCTTCCCATAAAATCTACAACCAGTATGAGTCAACTATCCTTAAATCACAAAAATTTGATTCATTTACAACATATGTAAGTTAGACTCGACAGGTCACTTAATGTGCCAGCAAATGACCTTCAAAAGTATGTTATTTCTAAGAGACTCACCTGGCTGAATCAAGTCACACATATAAAGAAATGACTGCACTTTCTCTTTAATAGCTTGGTACTCCTCTATTTCTTCGATTCGTTCGTCTAGACTTCTTTCTACTCCTCGCTTTGAGCCAGAATTAGCTTCTTCGTTGGTAATGAATGTTGTTTTAGAGAGCTCCAAAAACTTTTCCTTGTTTTTCCGTAAAAGCAATAAGATTTCAACAGTCACAGTGGCCTTTGATATGCTTTCTACTATTGCAGTCAGTACAGATTTAGCCTTTGTCAACGTTTCCTGGCCTTCCTCCGATAAAATGCTTCCTCTTCCTGACTCGTCACCTAAAATCAAAGCCATATCTAACACTATTTTTCTGCAGAGAAAAACTCCACCTCCAAAAGTTTTAAAACTGAAAGAACCAAAAATTCTGCCAAATAAATTAAATTGGGACCTTTCGGCACTTGCGAGAAAGATGTTGTTTCATACAAATTTTCTGTCATCACCAACACTTTACTAGTGCGGATGATTATTCGCGACTTGACAAATTTTGGCCCAGGCGTATGGCAACCCGGGCAGGTTTGAGATACTAAAATAGAAGGTCTGCGAAATCAATACATTCTTCCCGGGAAGATTAGTTTGTATATAGTGCAGAGAAAAAAGCCTTACCAAAGAAACGGAAATATTCAACGATTGGGTTCCAAGTGAGAAGAAATTCTACAATCGAAAGGTCCAGTCCAGACCTGTTGCGCCCTCGATGCGTCTTTGGCCAGGATTTCGCGAGTAACACCGACAAAAGTTCCCCGTACTTGGCTGCACGTGAATCACCTCGCAAAGAAGAGCCGCGTAAGGTCATAAAGGCATGGTGAGCATCTTTACCCTTCTTTGACTGAAATAAATTAAAAAATTGTTCAGTAATGATATAAACTCTCAGGTAGTTGGAAAGGAACACAACATTCGTAACTCAGTCAAAAATTTATCCTTTTCGGTAATCCGTAAAAGGATATGCGTATACTATACAACATGCAAGAGCACACGTTTCCCATCAAGGTCATTTTCCATTTATCTCAAGCCTTAACACAACGTTGAAATTCCGAGTCTTTACCTCAATTATCCTTTCCACAGCTTCGAATGCAAGTTTGCTAATGGATTCTCCGATGCCTCTGTCATAAACCTCCATGTTATGCTCGCAAAAAATTTCCACAAGATAGGTGTCCTTCACCTAGGAAAAAAAAACTACATCGAACCTAATCTTAAAAGTTCTTTTTTTATTGCCGACAAATGCCCTTTGATGACGGCGAAAATGTCATACTCCGATTGCCTATCGAAAGACCTGTTTGGGCACAAGTAATGTAACATTAAATGGAACCATTAGACTAAATTCTGTAACCTTTCATGTGCTCCAACAAGATCGTTCTTAGATTAAAAGGGATGGTAAGTTCTGAGCTCGGTAAGGAAATAGATACAGATGTTTTTCGTCTTGTCACAACTTGTCACAAGCGTGGGACAAAGAAAAATTCTGAGTCCCCATGAGGAATCGAGCTTCAGACCTTCGGATGCTCCTCCACTGAGCCACAGAGACTTGGTGAGCAAGGGTCATTACGAAGTCCATCTAGGACACACTGCTAGGATCGGCAATGTCGATAGCGTCATGCGGAATCCGAAGGTCTGACTTTCGATTCTTCATGGGGACTCGGAATTTTTCTTTGTCCCACGCTCGTGACAAGACGAAAACATCTTTCTCAAGATCCTTCATATTTCAAGTACTTTAGGATGGTATTTACGTCTTTGAACTTGTATACAGCAGGATACTTGATAGTTCTGTGCGTGATATTTTCTACATCCCCGGTAAAACCCGGCTTCCCTTCCCCGAATAGATAAAAAAAAAGCAACACGTTTACAAGAAAATTTGGATAAACTTGACAAACTTTAGAACTCGAACCCTCTTTCACATATGCTTCACTCACATATCGAATCGACTGAAATCTTCGATTATTCGCTCTCTTCCGAAAAAAAACATTTAATTACAAATGTGACAAGGGTGTAAAACGGCGGACAAGCCAGAGGTTCCGGTCTGCCGCATAAAGTGACCAAGAATAATGATGCTCTCCCTAAGATGGAATGCCAGTCCATCAAAGGAAAATCCGTTAATATTTTGTCACTTTCTTTCATGAGTATAGAACGCAATTACCCAGCCGGGAAAAAACCTGAGCCTTTCGATCTGGGGTCTTGCATGGTAATTACTGGACCAATACAACACCTCCAAATATAACTGAATTAACTCTACCTTATTAGACGCTTTAGTGTGTAGTATCGCCAAGTATTCTTACGAGTTGTGCCGTATTTTGGCAAGTCTGCAGAGTGAGGCAAAATAGAAACTACGAGTAAAAATACTACGCGATAATACACCAAAGCGTCAAATGAGTTATTTATTATCCAACTGCATTTACGCGATTCTTCTAAGGAGAAGAAAGCGAAGCAAATAGGACAACGGTTTGTGAAAGGCCTGGCGTAACGCTCGCGTCAATCTGTCAAACAAGGTTTCAAAATAATTTGACTGTTATTTGCGAGACTTAATCGCAGGTTATAACCGTTACATTTTCCTGATATCGATATTAAGGTAATTTGTTCCTATTTTTTGTTAATCTCTGAATAATCAGCATCAGAATTGTAACCTTAACTCATACTGAAGGAAGCCCTTTGCCTCATTAATGTGACATATATCGACGAAGGTCCATATGTGATGGTTGTTGTTGCAAGAAAATACCAACTGCATATAGTACTCTAAATTTTAAGTGTTGCTTTCCTGAAAAACGTTGTTCCTAGTGCAAAAATGTAACAAATTAAAAACAGTTACCTTTTTGGCACGGTTCATGAAATGCTCCTTCAAGTACATCCGGTACTCTTCGAAACCTTGAGTGCCATCTGTAACTTTGAGGAACATACTCCATACCTTAATAAAGAGGTAAGTAAAAATGTTCCGAGCATAAGAGGTGATTCGCTGTTTGTAGTTCTTATAATATGATTATCTACATAACTTCAAATGAAGGAAGACATCACTGTTAATATGGTCTGAACCTCAAATTTCGTCTCTTTGTAATAACAATTGCAGGCTTTTACAAGGAACACTAATCGGGATTATTTTTATGGCCAGATTAACCTTAAAAAATATTGTCCTCAGTTTCACTTCAGACGCATTATTACCTCCATCCTGCCACTTTTAAAATTGTATTTTCTTTTTTCTAAGTATGTTTTCACTACATCTCCATTTCCCTCTTCGGCCCCAAGTGAAGGAGGAGGGGGGCGTTATTATTTGATCTGACCGTGGTTGGCCCCAGTAAAAATTGATGCAGTGGCAAGCCAAAGAGGGTAATGCATGTCTGCTGAAAACGCATTTCCCTGCAAAGTTTGAGTATACACCACAATAACAGTCAAGGCAAGAAGCTGAAGAGCAGCTTCTAATGCCGCTTAGAGTACCAGCTGTCACAGTAAACATTAATGCTTTCCATCCATACCTCAAGTTCTCTTGAGAGAGCTCCACTTTTGTGGTTGTCGGGCATGTGGGCATCAAGTACTGATGGCAGCTTACTTCTAAGCTCTTTCCAAAGAAGATGCAGACACTCTTTTTTCAAGGTTTCAATTTCTTGAAGCTTGTTTGGATTCTCAGTGTGACTTTCTACTGCGGATTGTTGACAATGTTGTATGCTTAAAAACAGCAGCTTGATTGCGTGGCAAATCAGTTCAATATCCTCTCGGAAATAAGGAGTTCCCAGGCATACATGGACCAACTTCGAACTTGCAGAGACTCTGAACGTCATGATCTTCGTGTTGGAACTATTTGCGAAAAGTAGCATCCATTTCAAATTATTCCCTTTAGGTTTCCTTGTGATGTTATTGATAGTTATGACATAAAGACACACCGAGTGCTGTAATTGGTCAAAAGTCCATTATCTATTTCCCTGCATACCCTGAGAAAACCGCCTGTTTAACCGCCTCCTAGTTAGCTCAATGGATGGAGCGCTGGAATGTTGTGCGGGAGGTCGATGGTTCAAACCCCGGCCGGACCAACACTCAAGGTCTTAAAATAATTGAGAAGAATATGCTACCTTTCTATAACATCAAGAAATGGTTAGATATCATAGTCTTCTCGGATAGGGACGAAAAAATGTAGGTCCCGTCTCCTGCAGGGTTAGGGGTAGGAGACGTTAATTTCCCACGCACGAGATTACTGTGTGATGGATGTCCTCCCCTGGGGTGGGATGGGTTGGGATTATTTGATGAGGGCCGTAGGTTAGAGAACTGTAACAGGTTATTGCGCTTCCCTCTTTAATAAAGTTAAAGTTAAAGTAAAGTAAAGTAAACATCTTCCCGTGCCATCAAATGGCGCCACGCGGGACGAATTCTCAGGTTTTAATTTGTCAAAAGCCTTTGGTTTGGAGAACACGACGAGGACTCTTCGAGCGCCAAGAACAACGACAAATATTTCATATGCTTATGTACAATTAGCCTCCCCCCTGTTAAGCGCAGTAAGAAAGGATCTCTGCAGTAATTCAATCTGAATCTGGATATCGTTGATGTAACAACTAATGTTGTCTACAAAGACAGTGAACCGCAAATGGTTGGAGTTTCTAAGCTGAAGAAAAGCAACTGTTACATTGCTGATCATTCATTCATTCATTCATTCATTCATACAGACATACATACATATATACTTTATTGATGCTCTCTAAAGTTTAAGTTAATTAAGGAAATAAATACAATAAGATCGTAAATTACAAAAATATATCATCAACCTAATAAGACATTCGCAAAATGACGCCTAAAATTCTTGGGGCATTTTAAGGATTTAATATTATCATTCAAAGAGTTCCAGAGTTTGGCTCCTCTGAAAGCAAAAGAGCGCAGCCCCGTTGACCGGCGACATAAGGGTATCTCCAAAGCACCAGACGATCGAGTTTGCCTATTATGGACTTGGGAATGTAGTTTGAACATATCAGCAAGATAGTTCGGAAAAACTTTGTTAATATATTTATGCATCATAGTAGCATCGTTTAGAATAAATTTCTTTCTAATAGGAAGCCATTTCAGTGATCGCAGTCCATCCGAAATATGGTTATACTTTCTTAGTAACAAAATAATTCGTCCAGCTAAATTTTGGACTCTTCGTGACTTGTCAATATTGCTGTTGCTAGTATTACTCCAAACGGTTGAACAACACTAAGTTTACTAAAAAACAAAGGAATTTATTACTAACAAAAGCGTTTTCCTATCCAGGAGATGCTTGATTCTGTTCATTTGCATCCATTTAAGGTTACTTCCTACATTCGTGGGTGTTCTTCGGGAAAAAATTCGTACGCGCGCTAGTTTGAAGAAAATCCTAACAAACTATACATCAAAACAAAGCTTAATAAATTCAGTTTACGATAAAAATATAAATTAGACGATTTTTTTTCATTTAGAAAGTGTCAAGAACCGGCAAGGTGTGAAACGACCGAGGGTCCTTCTATTGAATTTATCGGGTGTCGGATTCGCGGCACGAGAATAATGGCTGCACAGTCTTATTCACAAGGCATCAATCAACAAAAGCGTGTCAGGCTTTTCCGATATTCTGATTGGTTGTCTAGATATTCGCATCTAAAGTTAGAGTAGCGAAAAATATGCGAAGCGTGTTGCGCAAATGGACACCACGTAAAAAAGTATTTCAAATATCAAAATTTCCTGACACACTTTTGTTTGTTATCATCCAAGGAATGTGTTGGCGTAATTTCCTGAAAATCGGTCAAATCTACATACCCTATAAATTCGCTCAAAGTGGATGTATTCCTCTCAAAATCAAATGCGAGATTTCAGCTCCTATGGGGCCGACCATTTAACTTTTGAGGTGGGGGTGGATGATTTTGAAAAAAAATTTCTTGCAAGCGCTTGTTGGAAGAAAACAATTGCATGCAGCCCAAATGTAACAGAAAAAATGTACCAAAAGATCGGAAAAAAATATCCTGCACAGCAGATTGCTAGAAAAAAAATTCTTGATGACCAGAAATCACCCAC